ATAAGAGCCAGTTAACTAATTTGAGGAGATTAAAGAAGTAAGTTGAGTTAGTTATTTGTCCTAAATAGGTGTTGTCTTTCCTAAAATATCCTTACTAATCAAGTATATTAACTAGAACTATAATTATTAGAAGGATTATCTTAGAAAAATTAAGTAAATATGAGAGACAAAGTGGATTGAGGTATTATATTTAAGATCAAAATAAAAGTCAAACAGGGTCTTATATTAAGGACCGGAGGTAGTATCATATTTTTTATAATTAACTAACTTACCTAAATTCCTTAATAAAATCAAATTAGTTAAATACGTATTATATTAAGAACCGGAGAAGTATTTAATAATTTTGCTTTCTATTGTTTTTTTTTCCCCAAATTCCCATCAGAAAATAATTATATGTGTAGAACAGGCCTGAAGGTTGGAGCAGGCCTTTCTGGAAAGCTGCTTAAAAGTTAGCAGTGTTTTAACAAAGCTCCAGATTTCTTCATGAAACCAAATCACAATATATAAGAAATAGGAATAGGAAGAAGAAATATTTTATTAAAAAATATGTTTGGTATTAAAGAAAAAAAAGAAAATGTGATGTAATTTTTGTTTGATATATGTGCTTGAATAATAGAGTGGAAGTTTTAAGGTGAGGAAAAGGATTGAATAAATAGAAATTGATGTTTTTAGAATTTTGTACTGATAAATAGAAATCAATATTGTCTTCTTTTTAATTAAGAAATTAAACAGTTTTCCAAAAGTCACAGGTAAAAGTAATGGAGAAGAGAGAGCATTATTTTAAAGAAAATGTGTTCTTTTCATGTTGTTCAAAAGATTCCGAAAACAAATTGTATTATTCATTATTTATAAAGAATTTTTTATTATATATATTGACATTAGCGTTGATAATTTAATATTAGATTTTAATTTAGTTTATATTAACTTTTTTTTTGGTTTTGGTTTTTTTGGGGCAATTGATGAACAGCTTTGTCTGTGCTGTCATTTGGGGAATTTCTGGGAATGATTGCTCATTGTAAGAAACATGAAGCATCGTTCTCAAAAGGAAAAGCCCTTTCTCTTCTTTTCTTTAGTTTTATTATTTTATGAATTTTTTGAAAAATTTAATCTTTTTATTTTTATGATTTTAACTCAATTATAATTTAATTACTGAACTTTAATCTGATACAATTCAGTTTTTATAATTTTATCATTTAAATTATTAGTTAATGAGTTAAAATTGAGGGTCTTAGATATACCAAGTTGAAATTTAATAATCAAATTATAATCGAGTCAAAATTAAAAAAAAAAAGGTTATTATTTTTCAATTTCTTTAGTTTTATTTCATTTTAGTCAAAACCCCACCACATACCCCATTACTACACATTATTATATTCGAATTCTTTCAAGTTAAATTTCAAATATTCAAATTTTATTTATTTATTTTGTTATATCAAGAAAATTAAAATTGCCAATCCTTACAACTTATATTAGATGCATATCTTGTGTACATTATTCTGTGTAGCATTTTGCAAGAACAAAAATGTCTGAATAGAAATGATCCAATTGAGTGTTCACCGTGAAACCCCCTTTTGCCCCAAAAAAAAAAAAACAAAGAGAAACATTTTTTAATGAAAAATATTTTCCAATTAATGATTGCCTTTTGTTGGCTCGCTTTTTGGCATTTCATGTTCGGTCGCTGCTGAAATGTGATTGAATGAGCCGGATCAAGTCTAGCTTATATTTGTTCCTCAAGCTTCTAAAACGTCGGTTAATTTTCTGTTGGATTTAAATTTTTAAGGTACTGAAAATTTGGACATGTTATTAAACCAGTTAAGACAGTAATTTGAGAATTATTGGTGTAATTGTGGTGGAACTGAGATCAACCTCATTATAATTAAAATAGCATAATATTACAATGTACACAAATATTCACGCATAACTCTATAAAAAAAGTCATATTTAAATTAAAAAATGCATTAATCTAGGAAATATTCATATATATATATATAAATCATATATAATCCTACAAAATAAAATCACTAAAACATAATTTGACCAGCAATTACTTCTTTTTTTTTAACTTGAAACAACATCGTTTCAGACTTAACAAAAGGAATATATATATATATATATATATATATATATATAATTCAACCTGATCAATTCATTCAAGATTCTTGCTTGAACCGGCTAGTAAACTGGTTCCCAAATTCACATTTAATTGAATGGCTTGAATTAGATTTTAATACTATATTAAATTCTTCGGGTAATACAAGATGTTGCAAGTAAATTTTTTCTTTTATCCCAACCATTTAAACTAACAGACTAGATTTCAAAGTGAACAGGATGTCACCGTTTTGAATAACAGGATCCAGACTCCAATATTCCGAATATTAAACTATAAAGCGCACGTTGTACTCCAGTAACAACTCTTCAGTAGTAATGATGATCTGTGTGAATGGGTGCCAACTAAAGATCATTTTCACCATTACTACCAAAATCTGAGATCAAAGGCTCATAATCTCTACAAGCAAACCAAAGCAACTCAACAAACAAACGATAGGATTCTTTGGTTTTAAAATCACCAATAATGACGCTTTTTGTGCCCTCTAATCATTCCAGTTTCCCTACCTCGATACCTCTTTCTTTATTTAATCCCACTTTTTTTGGCTAATGATTGCTCCTCCACCACCTACCACTGCTTTTTGCCTTTTAGGGTTCATCTTTTTATAAAATTAATGGGAAAAGGGTTTCCTCTGTATTCGTTGTTATCGGCGTTTCCTTGTTAGAATTTTATCAGAACATGACATCTCATGGAGAAATTATGAGCATACCATTTTTTTTTTTTTTGGTTTCGTTTCTTACAAAGATTCATTTTCTCCAAAACCTATCAGTTGTGAGATTAATTATGAATCAAAGCAATCATTCAACAATGAAAGGAGAACTCTCAATTAGCATTATGATTACATAATTTTGTCATCTTGAGAGTGATCGATTATTTTGAGAAAGTTCAGCTCCTAAACGTGAACAAACATCATCATGAACACTGACGTTTAACTTGTTCTTCCCTCTAGATATTTGCATTGTTATACTCCAATCTGCATTACCCATTTCACCATTAGATTAGATAATTTTTGAGAAAGTAGACACTAGTAATACTGAATGTTTGAGAGATGATACAGATCCTAAAAGATTTTAACCAACTCATTCCCGGCTATGTTTATTTAATCCACACCCAGGATTGTACGGTTAAAGAAGGTCACGGTATTCACTGTTCAGTCCGTAGTTGCATGATCATAAACCAGTTGAGCAAAGCAGAGGATATATTGGCTGTTTCATGAAGTTTTTGCTCCTAATTTACTATCTTTCTTTGGGTGCTGAAGATACAGAATATCAATTTACTATTGAATAAGCCAACCTATCAATGATACATCATATATCCACCATTATGACAAAAGCAATTATGGTCTTATCAAGGAAATGAAGCGTGATTTTAGTTAAGAGATTGTGAGTGCAAGAGAGATTCTTGGTGTAGACCTGTAATCATTCAACAATGAAAGGAAATTTTGCAACAATGATTTTGTCATATTGGAAGTGATCATCGTGAAAAGATCAGCTCAATTATGGTTTATGGACACTGGTTTTTTACAAATGGTAGAATGGAGGATCTAGTGCGATCAAGACAAACTACTGCTGAAATCCTGGGAATTTGTTCTCTTTAATGTATGATGTTATCTCAATCATTACCTGCGGGCTGTCTCCTATTGATTTAAGGATTGGGTACTTCACATCCTGCAACGACAAGAGAAGCAGCAAATTGTATCAAAATGGCAGTCTGCTAAGACTGAAATAAACTTGGAAGAAAGACGCCTCTTGTTGGATTTAGGTAACTTAGATAATTACCAAATAATAAACATGATAATGAGGCCTCGGTGACATCACTGAGATAAAGGGAGGTGGATCCTCACTGATTTTCAAAGTGGATGACAACGGGAGGTTACGGCAAAACTCTGTGAGAAGCCAAAAAATGGATATCATCTTGTCGTAGTGCCCTAACAAGAGACTGCATAAATCCGGTTCAAGGTAAGCTACAGAAACGGTCCAAACGTAACTAAACATTATTATACAAATACAGGACTCATTTTGGGGGGTTATGCAGTGCCATTTCATTCTCATCAAACATCTTATAACCATTTTTTAAGCGACACAGGTATGCTTAGAGTAGACAAGTTGATTTGGGCCAAAACACTTAGGTCCTAACGCGTAGTGCTGCAAACCCTGATGAAAAATAAAAAATCACAATTTTCCTGCCATTACCATTGAGATGAGAAACAGTGATGGGCTCTGTGAATAATAATATAATAAATCAATCTTCCAACTTAGGTTTGGTGGGGCGCGCCAGGCCCGTGCAGTAGTGCAACGCATGGGCGACGCTTGAGGATCCCAGTAGCAAGCTACTGTGATGGACCCTCCCCCTAGAAAAATAAATTTAATATCATGTGGGCCGATGGCCCACGTATCAGATATTAAACTGATAAGAACAGATACTACACTTGATCTTAGCCAAAAGGCCGAGAAAGGTATGCTTTACACTGGGCGTCCGCTTAGCTTTTATATCTGCTCTCTGCTTGGAGGCTCTGCTGACTCCACGATGTGGGACTTCTTTGGAGTTGCCGTCCGACCCTCCAAAGTCCAAACAAACCATCACAAGACATTAGTCGCAATTTGCTGGGGTATTACAAGTGCCTAGCCATGCTTTGCGTGAAGATTTCATCTCTGTAACCTTCCTCCGCCAAAACTTTGAAAAAAAAAATATGCTCCAATGGATTAACTGGAACTGCACAATGGATGCAGCTGAAAAAAGAAGGCTTGAGGAATATTGGAACGCGGTTTTTGGATATGTCCTTTGGAAATGAGGAGATGAATGAGCTGGGAATTTTGGATCTGAGTTTATATAAAGCCTCGTCAGACAGAAAATTTACCCAAAAGTTACCAAGAATGTAAGGCTGCCTATTCACAAACCTCAACCTTCTTAAACTGGAGCTATTAGCAGCCGCATAGATGAAGCAATGGAACAACTAAACACAACGTACACATATTTCTCTTTAGTCTTTACATTAGCAGGTCAATTCTCCCTCTTAAAAGGGAAAAAAATCATTTGTGATGTAAGTCACAAAAATGGTGACATGAGAATCATCACCATAACTATCACAAAGAACATAAGCAAAGAGACAAAACCTATGAAAAAGTAATCCTACTAATAATAATCACTATAAATCAGGTACAAATGGGGCATATCACTAAGCCATTTTCATTACAGTTAGTGCACCTCATCACAACCATCCTCCCCTGTTTCTTCTGACCCATCTCTTCCTTCATCATCACCACCACCTTCTTGGAGCTCCCATTACACTTATCACAAGGCAAGAACCTCATATCCCCACAACCCCCACAAACTGAACCAGCTTTTTTTCTGGGTAGACCTTCTAGAAGCTTCCCTAATAAACCCTCCTCTACCATCCTCAATAGCTCTTCAACCCCACCAATGTAGCTTCCTTTCACAAACACTCTTGGAGGCAAAATCGACTCCTTCTCCTCCTTCCCTTTAAGTAATTCCCTTAGCTCCTCTCTAAACCCTCGATCCATGGACACATCTCGCTCACAGATTTGAACGCCAAAGCCCTCGAACGCAGCCCTCACAGCATTGCATGCTTCGAAAGTATTTCGAACGCCTCTCAACGTTGTCGTATAGATCACCACTCTGTTTTCCCCATTGGGTGGGCATATTCTCTCGAATCGCTCCAGTAATGGCTTGACTGAGTCGGATTTGACGGAAACACTGGACTCCTTTTGAAGATTGAACTGGTTTCGGTTTAGGTTCGAGTTTTCTTTATCAAAGGTTGAATCTTTAGTGGTGAAGGGTTTGCATAGAGGCAGAGGAGAAAATCGGAAACTGTCAGTGTCAAGACCTGCCATGAGCTCCCAAGAGTTAATGACCTCTGGTTCGGACCAGAGGGGCTTGGGTTCACGAAGTGGGCTCGAGAAGATGGAGTCGAGGGTGAAGCGAGTGGGCGGGATGGTCGGAGTTTGAGGAGGGTCGAGGTTGAGGAGGCCATAGGTGGTGGAGGTGAGAGAGACGATGTGGTGGCCGATAGCGGAAGCACCGAGTTGAGGAAACTCGTCGTTGTGGTTGAGTAGATTAGAAGAGACGCAACCCATTGCTCTGAAGAATGAAACTTGAGATTCTGTGGGGTTTTGGATTTGAATTCTGGAGGAAGGAAGGTAGGGACAAGGAGGGTGAAGACAATGTGGAACTGAATCGGTGACGATGACTATTTAAATTTGGAATGCTTTGCTGCACTTTATTGCTATTTCTCGTCTTTTGATTCTCCTCGGGTTCAATTTTTCAAATGCCATGGGCCCCAGGCGCTAAGATATTCTAATTCAAAGTTCAAACCGGAATTAAACTAATGATTTTAAAAGTAATTTTCTGTAAAACGAGATAAATCCCTCCACATATTTATTTCATAAACTGTAAAAGTATTTTTAAAACTATAATTTGGTTTCTATCCAAATATTCTGAAAAAAATTAGCATGGTATTTACATGTGACTGTAGTACACATGTTTAAATAATCATGAGATACTATTCAGATGGTTAATTTATCTGGCCTTTTTTTACCAGCACTAGCAGGTACAATGAAGCATTATGAATTCAGGTACTCCTCCGGCCTCTCCTCAGCACTATAGCCATTAGCCAGTCGCAAATGCGAGCAATAGTGTTTCCTGTGATGAATAGGCTCTTTTGGGCCGAAAAGTTGAAATCTAAACACCGTAGTTTGGGTGGACTTGGGCCAAACTTTTGGGCCATAATGTTGATTGAGATGAAAGACAAGCATTAAAACAATGAAATTTAGTCTAGTACTCACCAAAAAAAAAAAAATAAGTCTAGTAGAAAAGACTAGTTCCTCATAACGTGACAAACCAAAGTTTGAATTTCTACTGAGAGAGGTACCTACACTTAATACCTGACAGTACCTCGAATAGGATTACCTCCTTTAACAAGCCAAAAAAAAAAGAAAAAGAAAGAAAGAAAAAAAAGAAGGACAAGCATTAATTAATGAAGTTGCAATTTGCTGGAGTATTACAAGTGCCTGAGCTTGCTTTGTGCTTATAAACGCCCATTGTATTGATCAATCGCACGTTAAATTCCCAGTGAATCTCATAAAATGAGTAGGGTTTTCATTTCATGATGGGGATAACTGAATTTTAATCTAACCATTTTATTTATTTATTCTTATAAAATCATGAAAAATTCAAAACGATACATTGTTTCAATAAAGCCAGAAATATAGATCGGATATGGGAAATTCATCGAACAAATCCAGAATGTCTGTTGAAGATTTAGGTGCATCAACTCACATCAATAGATAATTAAATTGAAGGTGATCTTTTCCTTGTTCATAAATTTACTTTCATGCAGCTCGTTAAAATGAAGCTAGGCAAACAGAAAAACCTATAAATTAAATTCTATACCTTTTAGCCGATACAAGGTGATTTGTATCTCGTTAAACGGCAAAGTTTTGCTCATTTCTTTTTGTATATGATAGATTCCCAACAATCTATCACAATTCAATATCTTTCTTTCTTTTGATGTAACGATATATTGGTGTTTTTTTTAACCCTTTTTTTTTTTGTTGAAATTCATAGCAGTATACGTAAAGTGTATCGCAGAGATACAAGTAACTATATTGTACATTGTTTTGACTTTTGAGGTTAATTTTTAATTAATTCTGTTTGATATAACTCATTGACTAAATTAGATTCGAGCATTATATATTATATATACATACTCTCTCTGTTCTTTACATAAGAATTTGAAATTTGAATTGTTTTGATCCTTTTTATAAAATCCTAATTGAATTTGTCTAAACATTTAATATATTTTTGCCATTTTTACCTTTAATTAATTTTAGGACAAATTAATTCGCTGATCGTTAAAGTTTATCACAATTTTGCATTAGGTTCGTCCTCGTGAGTCTCAACCTTTACAATTAACACTGCTAACTTTAAGGGAAAATTACATACAAGTCTCACAGAAGAGATTTTATTCATCTAAGATCTCACGAAATGTCAAAATTACTGACAAGTCCCAAGGGACCTCAGAGTAATATATTCTATTTGTAAAATGACATTATTGCCCCTCACATTTCAAATTCACATTTGCTCTGTCATTGCGATTTACAACCTCAGCAGCGACTATTAACAACCCAATGAGAAGGTGTTAACAACCTAAACAGTACTCGTTAACAACTTACTTTATAGAATCATATAACCTCCACATAAGAGTCAATTATAACCAAATAGCATAATACAACAACTTTAACACTAAAATGGGAAGTTTTTTGATATCGTTAAGAATTTTAACTAAACCCAATAGGATTGTAGCAAAATTTTAATGCGGAGATCCATTAACAACCTTAACAGTGAGTATTAATAACCCAAAGAGAGCTGTTGACAATCTAGACAGTGTCTGTTAACAACTGACTTTATAGAATAATATAATCTGAAGGGCAGTAATGTCATTTTACAAGTAGAATATGTTAATAATCCAAAGAGACCTATCAGTAATTTTGACATTTCGTGGGACTTTAGATGAATAAACTCTCTTCTGTGGGACCTGTGTGTAATTTTCCCTAACTTTAATGAGTTGGGGGCTGACTGAGCTGATGACTTGGCAGTGAGGTGAATCAATCCAGATGAAAGTAATCTAAAACCAAACAAGAAGAAACTGCCATTACCATAGCAAGGGTCTGCAATAAGAAAAAGCTCTTAATCTCTTATGATTGATTAGGTCTTGTAAGTAATATAACTATTTGATTCTTCATTCATATTTTTGGTTTTCTTCTTTCTCCCTCATTCTACCTCTTGTTATTGATCTAACATGAATTTTTCATCTTCTTCTTGGAGGCATATCATCATGAATCTGATTCAAATTGTTCTGGTTGGGTTTATTGTTCAGACTTCGAAGATATTGACGGCGTCCTCCACAAAATTCAAACCCCACAATGAATCACGAAGAAAGAGAGAAAATTGAGAGAGGAGGGTGAAAGCTGGAGACTTTGAGAATGAATGTGGAGAATGAATTGCAGAAATGGGAGAGAATAATGGTGGTTTCTTTTCGAGTGGTGAGGGTGGTCTTGTTGTGTTCCGGATCTACGTGGCATCATAATTAGTCCACTTGACTGCCAACTCATGTTACCTATCTAGGTGTCAACTCCAACTTGTCAAGGTTAACGGTGTTATGACAGTTTAGAGCACGAGGAATGAATGGGTTTAACGAACAAAATATGAGAAGCCTATTCAAAAGAAATAAATTACAGACATCGATTCAAAATTGAGGCAAACTATAAAAACCTATGAATTGGTTTTTCCTTAATTTTATACTACCTCCGGTCCTAATTATAAGAGCTAGTTGACTAATTTGATAAGATTAAAGAAGTAAGTTGAGTTAATTATTTGTCATAAATAGGTGTTATCTTTCCTAAAATATCCTTATTAATCAAGTGTACTGGCTAAAACTACCATTGTTAGAAGGACTACTTTGAAAAAAAATGTATAAATAGAAGAGACAAAGTGGATTGAAGTCTTATATTTAAGACCAAAATAAAAGTCAAACAAAATCTTATATTATGGACCAGAGGTAGTATATTGTACTACCTCCGGTCCTAATTATAAGACCCAGTTGACTAATTTGGAGAGATTAAGGAACTTAGTTAAGTTAGTTATTTGTAATGAATATGTGTTATTTTTCCTAAAATATCCTTACTAATCAAGTTTGTTATCTACAACTATCATTATTAAAGGACTATCTTGAAAAAAAATGGATAACTATAAGAGACAAAGTGGATTGGGGTCTTATATTTAGGACCAAAATAAAAGTCAAACGGGATCTTATATTAAGGACCGGAGGTAGTATTAATTAAAAGATTGACAACTTGACATACCACGTACATCCTCTTTCATATTTTTTCTCATTACTACTTTATTTTTCTCTACTTGCCCTTTGCAAATAAAGGCATACTTAGGAGGAAAAAAGTTAACTTTTTTATATATTTATTACATTTAACTAATCTTAACAGTTTTTTTAAACTGTATAATTCAGTTATCAGGCTCTTATAAAAGGATTAGAGTATAACAAAAGGTTAAAGAGTACTTTTATTTTTAAATTATTCTTTCAAAGCTACTGAGTATCTTAACCATTTAAATAGTGTAACATCAACCCTAAAGTACTAAAAAATGTGCATTGTGGCCTCTCTGTTGAACATTTGTTATTTTGGCCATTGGTTCACCAGAAAAATTATGAAAAAGGTCTCCAAAAAATTATACATAAACACTCTGTAAAAAAATTTATATGAATTAAGTCTCAAGAATTATAAATAAATGTTAAGGGACTAATGTTATTTCTGAACTATATGAAATATTAAAATAACATTTTAACCAACCACTTTAACTGGCTGTTGCTGATTACCGAATCAACATTTTTTATGACAAAGTTTTCATTTGCTTTCTTTCTTTCTTTGTCTGCAAATGATATCTTGATTTTTTTTTCCTTTGTTGAAATTCATAATAGTAAAGTGCATTACTATTGGATCTCACAGATATAAGTAAAAATACTGTACAATGTATGAACATTAATTTCCATTTATTTTAAACTTCCTTATATTAGACTAGGTTTTTAACACAACCTGAACCTTGCCGTCGGCAGGAAAAAGCAACTACAAGGATTCCATGATTCGCATGAAGCACACTGAATGAAGATTCTTTTTTCTTTTCCCCTTCATCAATAATTGAGATCTCTATTAATAAAATACTAGATATGTTTCATAAAACAGATTCATCACTTTCATCTCTAGTGGTGGATATTTATAGAGAGAGAGAGGATAATACTTAGTTCAAATTCCTTAATTAATTTACAACCATTATGTCAAGTTCTCCCATCACACTTTACCATATGTATTATTTTTTCTATATGAGTTTAGGATTAAATGATGATATGAAAACAAATAGAACATACGACAATATGTGATTGGAGAACTTGAGATAATAGTTATTATAAGAAAGTTGACCTAAGTTTTTTTTTCCTTATATCCACATACTACCTCCAGTTCTTAATATAAGACCTCTTTTTACTTTTATTTTAGTCATAAATATAAGATTCAAATCTACTTTGTGTCTCATATTTATGCATTTTTTTTAAGAAAGTCCATTTAATAATGATAGTT